CCCAGCCAGCATGGCTGGCTGGGGAATTCTGGGAGTTGAAGTCCACACATCTTCAAGCTGCCAAGGTTGAGAAACACTAGTGTAAGGCAACCTTTCCCACCTGAAGTCTTCCACACACATTGGATTTCAGGTGCCACGAGCTCTAGCAGCAAAGTGTAGAAACATAACAAGGATAAGTTGTCCTAGGTAGGAGGGACAGGGCAAAACCTTGCAAGTGTAGGACTTGATGGTCATCCATGTTGCCTTTCCACTCCACTTGCAAGAGAAGCTGTGTGTGCATCTGTGTGAGAGCATGCTTGGAATCTTTTGGCCCCCTGCATCTTCATCCATGCCCCCAGCCAGATCCCAGCTATTAGCTGTCCAGATGTTTCCTCTTTTGTGTGGCTCATCAGTCCGATTCATGGGAGTGGAGGCAGTGACTCAGCCATGGGACATGTATGTCTGGAATGGAAGATTCATCTCCAGGAAGGATTTAGTCAAAGTTTAGAAGGGTTGCTAGACACACAATCAATGGCCTTCCTTCTTGTGCTCTATAAGTCAAGTGCCTGGAATTCTTGAGGGACGATTCTTGAGGGAAAGGACATGTCCTAACACAAAACAAGCATTTCAAGATGATCTCTCATGTGCATTACCAACAGCAGCTGTCCCACTTGTCCAATCGCTTTGCCCCCTCTTTCATTCCAATCCTGACCAAGTCGACTTGGTCGATGTGCTCTAGTGTTGTAGCTCTGTTGTGTTTCTAAAATCAATCCATCCAGCTCATCAGCTCCACTCGTTCTTTAGTATCTGAGTAAATTCACTGCAGGTGGATTTGGCCCAACCTACTTTGCAGGGTTGTTGTGCCATTCTTCACAAGAGAGGTGGGGTGTAGTTAATTTGGGGAGGGGGGAGAATGCCTATGGTCTGCGCGAGGATCCCATTATATTTGTCTGCAGCATACAAAAAGTGTGTGTGTTTGAAAGCCATTCGGAGCAGAGGCTTCCTGTCCACCTGCTTTGGGGGCCTTTATTTATTTAAGCACGAATGCATTTATTTGCAAAGCAATTCAAGCAAAAACAGAGAGGTCCCTGACCCCAAAGGGTTTCCAGATTATGTCGTTTATTAGGATAAACAAAGAAGTCAGCATGGGGTGGAAGGAGTTTGATAGCAGCGATGAACAGAAGCAGTGCAGAAGCAGACAAGCTGGACCTTTGGGGTGGGATGGCAGAGGAAGGAGATCAGCCCAAGAGCTCTAAGGAAGAAAATAAAGAGAGAAGCTAAAATGGTCCATTTGTCAGCAGCTCATTGAGAAAAGCAATTCCATCTTCATCTGGAAATGAATGGAAGATTTCTCATGGCAGAGGAAGGAGATCAGCCCAAGAGCTCTAAGGAAGAAAATAAAGAGAGAAGCTAAAATGGTCCATTTGTCAGCAGCTCATTGAGAAAAGCAATTCCATCTTCATCTGGAAATGAATGGAAGATTTCTCTAAGTTTTCTTAACATGGCTGATCTCCCTGGGTGTAAACTTGGGGTCTCACCTGGGGAGGGATTGTTCTCTGCATCTCTGTGCTGGCTCACCCTTTTCTACCAGCCATCTCATTCGCTCCTTTTCTCCCCTACCTTCTTCCTCCTCCTGGTTGCTCTTCACGGGGACCTGAGAGGGCTGCTCACCCTGAGAGAAGCCAAAGGCACTTCCTGCACCTCTCAGTGGATTTGGCTGCTCAGGAGATCTCTTCCCTCACTTGCAGTCTGTCCCAAAGCCAAGTTTTCTGTTTAAGAACAAGCTGGAGGAAGGAACAGGCTGGTAGTTCCAGAAGAGACCCTGCTTCAGTTTAACTGGTGTTTTGCAATCCCATTGGGATTTTTTTTAAAAAAATTTTTTGTGACTTTCATAGTATTGACAAACAATGTCTCAGTGATGGGTTGCAGGAAATCCAAGAAAGGGAAAATTAGATTTATCCTTCCTTCCGTCCTTCCTTCCTCCTTCCTCCTTCCTCCCTACGTAAATGCCCAAATTTCAACTGTCACTCCACCAGCTTAATGGGAAGACATTGGGGCAGGTAGATGGTCAAAGCAATTAGGTTTCCTCGTCTGCTGAATCAAGAGATCCATCAAGAAACATTTTTTCTCATAGGAGGTGAAGATTTTCCGAGCCCTGATCCTCGGGGAGCTGGAAAGAGGACAGAACCAGTTCCAAGCCCTTTGCTTCATCACTAGGCTGCATCGCAACGAAATCATCCCCAGCGAGGCCATGGCCAAACTCAGACAGGTAAGGTGGAGGAAGGTTCTCCAGTGTCGCAACTAGGGTGAGATAAACTTTAACCCACAAGTCTGTTTTCCGTGTCGCTCTTTAGCTTTATTAGTCAGCTCTCTACAGAGGCAAAGACATGCCACGATGTCTCCCAGGCCTGGCTGTTGTGATGGTTTCCTATCTATTATGACAAAGCTGCCTGGTTATTAATATCTGTAGTGAGAATGTATAAGAATCGGCGCACTGTAGTGGATCCCAGAACAAATGTCTGCCTAACACTCATTTTTTTCTTTTTCAGTTGACCATGGATGTTCCTTTTACTGTTCTTTTAATATTTAAAATGCATCTTGTGCTTTCAGCCACGGAGGATCCTTCGGCAGGCTGTGGCCTCCTTTGCCAAACTTCCTGGAATGACTGTGTGTTCTTGCAAAGTTGCGTCATTCCATAGTCAGTCCAGGAAGTGCTGCAATGGAGAAACAGCATCTGTAAAGAGCCCCACCCTATGAAGAGGGTGCCCTGTGGGACTTTTGAAAGAATCCTAGCCGTCTCATACGTTTTCAAATGAACGTTCCTCCCCAGTCTTCCCTATAGGGCTTGGCCCTTTTTTTTCTCCCGTTTTTTTTTATTTAAAAGTCCTGCAAAATGGATGGTGAAATGAATTGCACTTGAGCAGATCCCAAATTCTGTAGTCAAGGTAGGGCCCCGATCGCTAGTCATCTGGTGACAGAAAAAAAGGAAGAGAAAACAAGCATAAGTGAATCCCTGTTGATGATCTAGATCAGAGTTATGGGCGACTGAAAAGGGCAGCTGAGTTTTAAATCGACATCAGGAATGGAAACGCTGATTCTCCTCCGTTTTTCTCCCTGCCAGAAAAACCCACAGACGGTGCGGCAGGCTGAGGAGGTGCGCGCGCTCGAACACCTCAGTATGGATGTGGCCGTCAACTTCAGCAAAGGGGCCCAGCTTAGCTCCCACATCTACAACATCTGTTCGGAGGCCAAGGAGACCATTTACACTCGGGAAGAGGATGTGAAGTTCTGGATGGAGAAAGGTAGGAAGCGTTGCAGCCATCAGGAGAAGGCGCTGTGGTCTCTGCAGACAGACTTGCATCTCGTAATGCCCCCAGTGCTGGGATAATGCAGGCTGATAATCAAATACTGACGACTTCCCTGTCTGCTGTATTTTTCCTTTTGAGACAGATGCTGCTTTGCAGGTATGGAGAAATTCTGAGTGAGTAATGAAGGTTTGTCTGAAAAGCAACAGATACTTCAAACCTTCATTACTCACTCAGAATTTTGCTCCTATCTGGTTTCACTTGCTCCTGTCCAACAGTGTAATTCCTGGGCAATCCATGTTATCTCCCTTCTGTGTTATTCTTTCAGAAGTCCCCTTGCAGCTCATAGCATTTTTTGAAGATCCCCAGTGGAGAAATTCCAGTCCTGAGAAACCTAAGAGTTGAGAGGAGCAAAATGTTCCCTCCTAGAGCCTTCTGACTCTGAAACGGAATGTTTTAACCCCAAAGTGTCTTTTCCAAAGTGTCCTGGAATTGGCCAAGCATTGTTTCAAGGCTAGGAGTGCTTGAAGCAACTCACTGCAGAACAGTCTGTGGATTTAAGTAATTTTCATTTATTTAAATTTAAGTAAAATCTAACTAATCTAAATTTAAGTCCTGTCTAACAGCCCCCCTCCTGAGATTTGAGCCCCTCGCCCCACCCTTTCAGCCTTCCAGAAGGCTGTGAAGACCGACTCTTCCCCCAACATTGGACTAGGAGGGGGTTGAGTCGGGGTCAGTAGTATGGGGGGTCTGGTGTCTATTTTTATCTTGTGGCTTTCTCGCTGTGGCGAGCCGCCTAAGATCACTATGTGAGATAGGCAGCCTTATAAGTTCTACAAATGAATAGATAAACAAGCAAACTTTTCTCCAAACATTTCTTTGTCCTTGACAAAGAGCACCTCTCGGCCCCAAAAAGGTGGTGTGCCTGTGATCTACCCTCCCATGATGTGGGTTAAGAAGGTGACGGATGGTTTGACTGATAGAGGGTGAATGTCAGCTGAGGGATTAGGATGGAAGGGCTAATGCAAAGCCTTCATGGAAATAGGTAAGCTTTCACTAAGGATTAGGTGTGCAAAATATTCCATTATGGAACAGTCTGACTGCAAAACAGGCCTCCTTTCTGAATGTTTTGCTAATGGCCCAACCTTGAAGCAGATCCTGAGTCTGTTTTGAGGTGAACCACTCCAGAATAATGTTGCCGGCCCATTTCAAGGCTGGAACAGCCTCATTTTGGAGTCAGAGCTGCTATTAACTCTGCAATTAGACGTTTTGCCCACAATGAGTAAGGATTTGGAGCAGGAGAAGAGAGGTGCTTTGCTGAGAGCACTTTGCCAGCTTCTGCAGAGAAGGGCAGCATGGTTAAAGAGAAAAGGAGGATATCTGGTGGAAAATGGCAAAGGGGGAAGAACTTCACTAGGGGAAGTGACCTTCGTTTTTCCCTTCCGCCTGTGTCTCCCGCAGGGGTGGATGGCTCCATGTTTGAGGTCTTGCCTCAGTCCGCAGACCTGCCTGATCTGCAACACTGCCGAGTCTGCCCAGATCGCTGGAAGCCTTGCATCTGCAGCTACGCCTTGAGCATCGAGTGGTACCCCTGCATGCTCAAGTACTGCAAGAGCCGAGACGCGGCTGGAAAGGCAACTTCCTACAAGTGTGGCATCCGCAGCTGCCAGAAGGCCTACAGTTTCGATTACTATGTGCCGCAGAAACAGCTCTGCCTGTGGGATGAAGAGACTTAGCAGGACACCTGGGTAGCCATCTTGTTCTGGACTGTGAGCACTTGCCTTCTAGGAGCTCTGGGGAGTGCTACCAAGATGGCCACCTGGAACGGAAAAGAGGAAGGGGCAGGGCATGGAGGGAGAACCCTGCGGGATGCCTCCTGAACATGGTTTGGAGTGAGTCTCTCCGTCTTCTCCTGTAGCCAGCACATTCAGATTTATGGGCAGAGAGGACATTCAGCTTGCAATGCTGTCAAAAGGAAGATGAGGAACATCAGAATGAGGACTGTTAGCCATCTTGAGGCTTCTTGACAGCAATGAGATTTGTGCCTGCTTCTTTTAATAAGGACATGGAGAAGAGAGGGTAGATGTTCTTCCCTGACGACCTCCCCGAAAGGATTAGACACCAGGTAGGTAGCAGGAAGCCTTTGTGGATAGAGGATCTTCTGGACAAAGTCCATGAGCTTCCAATACGTTCTACGTTTGCTACCTGGAGCAACCAGCAGGAGGAGACAGAGCCATGGCGATGTTGGAATCTGGAAGGACGTCCTGGATATTCTCCACATCATTTTGTGCAAGAATAAGAGATTATTTGAGAGTGCTGTGGGATGGCTGTTCACCTACGACCAATTGTCAATTACAAGAACGCCATGTGCTCCCCTTACCAATTTCCCACGGATAACACCATCCCTGGCCAGCTTTGACAACGGCAGTTTGCCAAGACGCACCTGACATATATGCTGCATAATCAGCTGGGTGGATCCTAAAGTATTGGGACGTTATACCATTATACCTTCTATCCTAATACCTAAAGTATTAGGGCCCAACACCCAGCCCAACCACTTGGTCTTGACTGGCTCCCTAATGCTGGAGGTGGGAATATAGAACTCTGGTTCCTTAAAGGTGCAGACCCCCTTTTTTCCTTATAACTCTGCCTTAATTAGAGCTCGTACCAGCCTTGCTTCTGTTCTTCCAGGGACTGAAGATTGCAGACAATCAGACGCATTAAAGAGGGTTCCTAAGGCCTACGTATTTTCTGAGCTTGACGCCCCAGTGCCTTCCTTTTCTCCTTATTAGAAAGTAAAATCTCTATCCATTTCTGTTTCTGAACCCCTCTCCCACAAAACTGTGACTGGCCAGAACAATGCTGTGTGCGTGTGTATGTGTGCGTGTGTTAATTAAACCAAGGGGACCAATGATATGTCAAATTATGAGTGCCCCAGATGTTGGAGAAGCGGTAGCAGAAGACGTTCGGACTACAGAAATGAATGAGATGCCCAGATAGGAAGTGGGAAAGCAACAGAAGAGGGATGTTGCGTACCGTCAGTTCATGCATGGCTGTCTGTCCCTGACCTGCTCAGTTCGACTAGGAGCAGCATTTTCTGAAGACCCATAAGATAAGCAGTTGTGCAAATGCACCCAAGCACACTGTAGGACCTGTACTAAAAGCCTTGTGTGTGCTTTTTCCCATCCCAACCAGGTCCATGGGTGCTATCAACAAAATGGAGAAAGACAGTGGCAATCTGGGACATCAGGGTCATGTTCCTACAACACAATAAACTAGGCTTGGGTTTTTTTGTGTGAGTCAGTGTATTGTGGGAACGCAGCCGAGCATGTTGCATGAAGCGAACATTGATGTTAAGCCATTACACTGGTTTCTTTGCTCCTTGAGAGGGGCATAGCCAGCGTGTCTTGCTGACTTGGGGTTCCTGTATTGTGGAACCCACCAGTTGTGGCCGTAAGTTCTGTAACTGGGGTGCAAAGAAAGACAGTGAAATGTGATTGAAGTTGCTGCTTCACCGACAACAGTCACAGGCTCCCACATCTTTGGATGTGCAGAAATTCAAGCCAGCCTGGTCTTGTCACAATAGGTTTGCAGTGATATAGGCAGCATTCCCTGTTTGATTTCCACCTGTCTTGCCGCTGCTTCTTAAAAACGGGATTTGTTGCAGATAAGCTGTAGACCTGTTACGCTCTCAGCTGATTTCTTAACTTTCTTCCATTTCTGTGTGCTACCTTCCTTCTGTAATTTGGGCACTTCAGACCATTGACATTCAAGTCTTAACGATTCTATTTTAAAAGATGGTATTTATCTATCTATTTCCTAGAATTATGTGTGTGAGAGAGAGAGTAAATGTGCAGTTGTGACTGTGTTTTTGACTGGGGGCAAGTATTCCTTTTGTGCTCTTAAGAAAACTGGCCACATGCAATGAAATAAATGTAAACTTGAATGAAAGTCTTTTTCAAACAAATTATTTATGATTGATAAGCTGAATAAACTGATTTTCGGGAAAAAAAATCTCCAAGGAGTCTATGGGTTTGCCCTAAGACTGTAGCTAATATTGCACAGAGCTGAAATGTGTGCATCTGTGACTGTAAATGAGAAGTGATTTGTTCACTGTTTCCATAGCTGTATCTCAGTACGCATATGAAATCAATCATCGGTTCTGTTAGTGTAAGAATGTGCCACATTTATCTTATTTCGTACAAATAAGGAATCCTGGAGAAAGTCGGTCTACACATTTCACTGCAAACTGGCTTCATCCATATCTCTTGGAACTTAGCTTGCTGTTTTTAATATTCTATCAGGTCGTCGCGAAGTCCTGGGGACTATATGGAGAAAGGTCTCCAAGGTCTTGTGCCTCTCACCATATTATGGGGTTCTTTCAGGTGCATTTCTGTGGCTTCCAGTAGTCTATCTGCCCACCTCATGTGCCGTTGGCTTCTTCTTCCATGCACCTTGCCCAGAATTATATCCTTTTCCATAGATGCATCAGCCCTCATGATGAGGCCAATGTATGATAGCTTTTGTTTCGTGATCTTTGCTTCCAATGGACATTCTGCCCTGATTTAGTATCAAAGAGTTGGTTCTCTGAGAAATGTGAAGCAACCTTCTCCAGCACTAGAGTCAAAGGGGACGCTCTTCTTCTTCTCACTCTTGTGCAGAGTCCATCCCTGAACATGATAACGGAATGCCACTGAGTTAACCATAGGTCTTGTCCATGGGTCCAGATGACGAAATTGCCATCAGTGAGTCTCAAGCAAAGGAGGGGTTTCAAGGAATGAGAGTGGAGACTAGTGTTGCTCTAGGTCATCCATGAAGACGGTAGCTACCTGCCTCTCTCTTTAAAAATATGGTTGTCAGCAGTTTAAGCAGAGCAAATACTGTCTGAAATCTGTATTTTGGCAGAATACAAATTTGGAACATGCATTTAAATCTATTATTTTTCTCTAATAGACCAATACTGTCTTATTTTATTTTTTCACTTTTCTTGCTCATAAAATTCTCACTTCTTTGGGATAACAGAGGTGTTAGTTTTTCTAAGAGTCTCCAGAAAGAGGCACCTCTGGGCTGCTTATCCACTGTAAAGCCATTGCACAGTCTTTGTGCTTCTTCCTAGTATTGACCAGTATCCTGATTCATTGAATAACGGTGATGTGCCTAGCACAGAAACCAACTTAACTTGAAAATTAGATCACGCTATTTTGGTTTTCAAAAAATGGTTTTATGTATGTTAATGTCTCGAACATTTCAAAAAGGTCGAACTAAACTGGTTCAGAAGGAACTACAAAGTGGGATGTTTAATATATCAAAAATCCTTTGCCGATGCAGATATCAGAATGCAAGGAAAGTTCTTGAAAACAGAACTGGCTTTGTAGCCCACTAATTTTCCATGGTTTCTGTTAGATAAAATTAAGTAGACTTCTTTTATTATGCAACACACTAGATACAGCTTTAATTCTGACTTGGTCCATGGATTTCTTTGATTAAATAGTTGTTGTTTAGAACTAGAAGTAGGTGTATTTCCTAAACAGCATTACTGTTTTCTGGTGGAGTGTATAGATGTCATAGTCCAACTTATTTCCATGGCATTGGAATGGGGAAGGCTAAAGTTTGTTCTCCTTGCTTGAAAATTTGTGATTCAGTTGTTTCCTCCAGAGCTTTGTGGGGCAATCTTTTCCACCACAAAGGAAAATAATCAGAACGCAGAGAGATTAGTTCTTTGCCAAAATGTCTTCTTTCTCCTGAGTAGTTTGTATTCAAATTGAGGAAAGCGTATTTGCGTTCAAATTTTCTTTTCAAAGAGAAAAGAATTTGGCAGGAATTCTGTTGGAAAGGAGTTGAGTTCTTCCACTGATTTATTGACAAAGCACCTAATGGGTGTATGTAAAGTCTTGCCTTACATTGCACCATCCACTCACCACTGTTCTGCAGCCTCACAGAGTTCACAGATGTATCAAGGGAAAATGCTATGGCTAAACTCCACCCATGTCTCCTATTCAGACTGGGGAATCAGAGAAGGTCCAGAATGATGAAATGCCACTCACATCCTCCATCACTACCATCGATAAAGTCAAGTCAAAATCACTGCCAGGAGACATTCTCAAGAACCCTGCGAGTAAGATAGAAACACAGGAACCTCTTGCACAGGGAGAAAAATTCACAATTTCTTTCAAGGCCTATTTCAGTGCACCATTTGATCTTGCTGGGGTCAATTTTATGCCACAGGTGATACCATACTGTAGTAATTAATTGCTGCTTTGGAAGAAGGGGAAGAGAAATCTCACCATTTCCCCCAAGAGTTTGTTTACATTGGAGACCAGTACACAATCCCATTGAAGCACAATACTGCGGTACCGGAGGTAGCACAGGCTAACCTAAAAAGGGACCAGCATGCAACCTCTCTATATAGAGTCATGCAAATTAGAATATACATCTGATTGGATACAGCAGAGTAATTGATGGCTACAGCAGCATCCTATGGGTCAGTAAGGTCAGATATGGGGTGGATTCTTTGAGTTATTGAGGTGGAACAACAAAAACAACAGTCCATTGAGAGAACAAAGAGTGTATTCTATGAACATAGTTGCTTCTTAATTATGGGATGTATCTTAAACTGGCCTTGGTTCCCAGAAACTATAGTCACCTCCTAGTATTTTCTCCTGGTTTTATCAGGTTTTTTCTTGGCCGCCTCACTGTTTTATAGCTGACTGAGTTTATTGTTCCTTTGGTCCCTGGGAAGGTAATTAGAGGAAGGAGGTGTTTTGCTTTATGATAATAATAATTTATCAAATTGTATACTGCCGAACTCTCAGTGACTCTGGGTGACTCACAACAATCAAAGAAATTACAATAAAATCAGACTTTATTCCACTTACCCTAACTAGCACCATGTTTGATCCCACAACAGCCCATCAGAAATTCATCTTAAAGCAGGATGGATGTGGAAGCAAGAGAGTCTTTCACTGCCTAAAGATTCTCAAAGGAGTTACATAAAATCTAACTACAGTCAAGTAACCAAGGGACAAAAGATTGTCCTGCACGTCAAAGAATACCTTCTGAGCCCCTCAAGATGTGGGGAACTATTGTCTCCAGCAGTCCCTTCAGTGGGCTAGCTGGGAATGTTGGGAATTAACCACTAGTTTGGTCTAGTGGTGAAGGCTCCAGGCTAGAAAGCCAGAGACGTGAGTTCTAGTCCCGCCTTAGGCGTGAAAGCTGGCTGGGTGACTTTGGGCTGGTCCCTCTCTCTCAGCCCAACTCACCTCCCAGGGTTGTGGTGGTGGTGAAAATAGAAGGAGGAAGGAGAATTAGGTGTGTTCACCACCTTGAGTTACTTATAAAAAGTAATAAAGGCGGGATAAAAAAATATTTTAAAAATCTAAAAAATAGCAGCCAATGAATCTGAAGAGCACCACGGGGAATGGTGCCATTGAAAGAAATAACAAACAAAAAAATCATCAAGAATAAATTCTAAAAGACCTATTTGAAAATTCTTCGAGCGATTAAAGTTGATAATCATTTCTGGGTCTGGAGATGTTGACCTGGAGCGATTCCTCAGAGGAACACAAGAGGTCACTCTAGATCCATCCTCCAGTAAGGCAGTCAAAGGCAGAAGCCGAGAAGCAGAGACAGCTGCATGACGAACCTTCAGATTCAGATTCCCAATCTTTTCTCACCAAGGGGATGGATGAAAGGGGACGCTTATGCAATGGATCACATGCAACATTTGCTGGTTTGCACAAGCCACTAACCGAAAAGCAGGCCACTACTTTGCAGCTGTGTGTGCCCTGACCTTGACCAGGGGGTCCCCTCATAGCTCAGGACTTGGTGTGCACTGGAGCAACTGGGTAAAATTAGAAAAGCAAAGTTCAGAAGAAAGTTGGCATGTTGTGCTTGACTCAAAGAACTGGCTTGCCTGTTGCTGAGCACCCCTTTCCAGAAGAGACTTGGGTCTAGACCAGGAGTCCCCCAACTCTTCAGCTCATCGACCCCTTCATGAAGTTTCCGACTGCTCATCGACCCCCAAACTTTTATTATATGAAAATAATTTAATAAATAGCACTTTAGCCAAGAGTACTGTGAATAATAAGAGCCATGATAATAGATCATAAATAATAATGACTTCATAACAAATAGGTAATATTTAAAATATGAAAAATACAAGATTTAACATCCTTTTTTTTTCACTGAAACTGTTGATACCATTAATGCAAAGGATGCATCTGATGAGCACCGACAAGGGCACTGAGGTTTCACTGAAGATCGGCAAGATGGGGGAGTACGCTCAGCACGGGAGGGCAACAGGAATACCACAGGTACGTGTAACCTTCCCGGGGCAGGGGAGATGAGAGAAACAAGGGGGAGAGGGGAGGGTCACAGACACACCATGCAAAGCACACTGGTAAACGAGGCCAGTAACAACACACAGCGGATAGAGACAACTCAAGGCTGCTCTCGCTAGCGGCTGACCACCCAACCCTGGGTAACAGTGTCTCGTCGCTAGCCATCTTGCCCTCAAGACTAGGGACCACGTGGAGCTCTACAGAGACCCCAAAAGATTAACTGACCCCGACTGACCTTCCATCATTTATCTACTGCCTATTGACCCCCCAACATTTACTGGCCCCCTTTGGACCCCCAGCCATTTATCGACCTCTTGGATAGTCCCATAGACCCTTGGGGGTCAATATTGACCACTTTGGGGAGCCCAGGTCTAGAAGGACACATACGAAGCCCTTTCCGGAGAAACTGAACTGAATCAGGACCTTCTCACCTGCCTTTGCTGCAATGGGCGAACTGCAACCCCGCTACCCATCACCAGTTCTGGTTCTGCAAGGTAGGATAGAAAGCAGACGTTCAAGCTTTTGTGTTACCCATTATTTTTCAATTCAGAAAAAGCTCACGGAGCTGTTGCCATTTAGGGTTTCAGCCTCTAAAGTCTGCATGTTTGAAGAGTGGGCTTTCAGGTGGCATCTCTTGAGCGCATAAGGTAGAATTTATCTCCA